GGGGAAATCAGGGGACACCTGGGCACTGGGGACATCTGGGGACACCGAGGGGATGGGGACATCTGGGGAAAGCCCCGGGGGGTGGGGACACACAGGGGATGGGGACATCCAGGGGGATGGGGACACCTGGGTGGAGGGGAAATCAGGGGACACCTGGGCACTGGGGACATCTGGGGACACCGAGGGGATGGGGACATCTGGGGACACCCGGGGACACCCGGGGACACGGGACACCGCGGTGTGCCCAAGGACACCCGGGGACGCTTGGGGATCGGGGTCACCGTGGACTGGGGACACCTGGTGACTGGGCACCAAGGGTGCCACCGGCCTGGGGACATCCAGAGACAAGGGACACTCGGGGACAAGGACACTCAGGGGAATGAGGACGCCTTGGGGCACCCAGGCACCGGGGACACCCTGGGATGCTCAAGGACATCTGGGGACACTTGGGGACCAGGGACATCCGGGGACACCAGGTCACGAGGGACACGGGGGGACACCGGGGCACTGGGGACACCCTGGGGTGCTCACAGGGGTCTGGGGACCAGGGACACTTGGGGACCAGGGACATCCGGGGACACCAGGTCACGAGGGACACGGGGGGACACCGGGGCACTGGGGACACCCTGGGGTGCTCACAGGGGTCTGGGGACCAGGGACACTTGGGGACCAGGGACATCCGGGGACACCAGGTCACGAGGGACACGGGGGGACACCGGGGCACTGGGGACACCCTGGGGTGCTCACAGGGGTCTGGGGACCAGGGACACTTGGGGACCAGGGACATCCGGGGACACCAGGTCACGAGGGACACGGGGGGACACCGGGGCACTGGGGACACCCTGGGGTGCTCACAGGGGTCTGGGGACCAGGGACACTTGGGGACCAGGGACATCCGGGGACACCAGGTCACGAGGGACACGGGGGGACACCGGGGCACTGGGGACACCCTGGGGTGCTCACAGGGGTCTGGGGACCAGGGACACTTGGGGACCAGGGACATCCGGGGACACCAGGTCACGAGGGACACGGGGGGACACCGGGGCACTGGGGACACCCTGGGGTGCTCACAGGGGTCTGGGGACCAGGGACACTTGGGGACCAGGGCCATCCAGGGCCACCAGGTCACTAGGGACACCAGGGGACACC